CTAGTGCTCACTAGAAATAATCACGGTTATGGACTACGCTACTGTGACAGAGAATATTAATATAATAAGTAGAAGTATTTAGTTATTATCAAAGAAAGGAGATTGATCGATGGGAATCTGGTTTTTTAAACGAATAAATAAAGCTGTCGCAAAATTCGATTTTTCAATTCCTTAGTTGAAGAAATGTGGAACAGATTACTAGTATTGTTTATTGAATTACATTTATAAATGTTATTATCCCTAAAAACCGCAGCAAATTTATTTACTTGTTTTAATTTGATATTTTTTCAACTTTTTAAAAAAGGAAATCGGGATTAACAACTTGAGAACTCGACTCCGTTACTATTAGTTTTAATTTTATTGATTCAGATAAAAAAAAACCCACTGAGCAACGCAATTCGTGTCGGTCGTTCTGGTTTTGTGTCATTAACAAAACAAAAAAATAACACCTAATAATAATTAAAAGTATGCTATTTATTTCCAGCTGTTAATAATCACATTTAAAACGTAGTCAACTATTTACTACAATTAGACAGGTGGTAAATTAAAAAAATACGGTGATACAGTATATATTTTTTAAGCTTGGTCAAGATGATATCCCAAGAAAAATACGATTAAAGAGCTCAAAGAAATTCTAGAATTACTTTGTATGAAATACAGTGAAATGTTCAAATAGATGAATGCCGCTATACTTTATGCCCTACATCAATTCTATATAATCTTCATAAAATTTCAACGTAATTTTGATTGAATATTTATTGGTTACTGATGGAAAGTTTATATAAGGAATGTCATATTAAAAATTTATGACATTATGTCGCTCTATGAATTTTTTCCGAACTTTCGAGTGAGGAGATGGTTTCTCCGAGACATTTGGGGTTTCCATTATCTATGTATTACTGATAATTTGATCATTGAGTCACTTATTTTAGCTTACTTCACAGATTAATAAACTTGAGATGATAACGGTAGGGATCTTCGTTCATTTCGGTTAAAGTATAACAAAACAATCGTACTGAATGTTGAAATCAGGGTAACGATGAACATAGACCATACGGAAACAAAAATAATTCTAAGTTTAATAGGATTGAAAAAGATTTGTCACCAAAAAGTAAATTTTAATTTTTATAAATCGTGAGTGTTGTTATGAATTGCATTAAACAGTTGGTTATTTTTGGAAATCACTTTATGAACCTCCGACTTACACGTTAAATCCAAAAGAAATTAGGTACACGTCAGAATAAGGACTTGAACGATGACCACTGGCTGAAGCTGATTTGAGCATAATCTTTTCCTTTATTACTCACAACTTATTAACGCGACCAAGTTTCGGAATTAAGGGATTCCAACTTCCTTAGGTGGTGACTTTGTACCTAACAATTATGTTTAAATGTCAAATGTCTTCTTTAGCTCTTACATTTCTGAATGTACCTACTAGGAATGAAGACCAATGAGTAGGATGTTTAGGTAAAAGAGTTAAAGTTTGGTTTTGTGTGAGAGATCCTCACTAAAATGTGTAAATCCTTCTTGTCCTTCCTACCTACTGGAGACTAAATTCGGTTTCTAGAGACTTTAGAAAGTGATAGACATTCACAAAAATTCAATAAGCGAAACACCATGAAACTAAGTAGTAGAAGAAAGGAATATATTCAGCATGATACGACCATGATATCAGTGATTAGTTACAACCTTTACAACATAGCGTGAAAACAAGTATATCCCACAGTATACCACACAGTACCTTCGGTGAAAGACTACTCAATCTGGATTTTGGATACTGTCACTTGAAATGTGAATAATTCCAGTCCATATGTTTTCGTGTTTTGGTGAATCGAAATAAACAATACAGTAGTTTTGGATTAACACCTACTTAGAGAACTATTTAGTTGACAAAGACGAAATACTATGTCTTTAGTCTGTTAAGTTATGAAAGTATGTGACTAAGTGAATCACCCTCTTGTCTTGATAGATTGAAGATGATTGGATTAGGTAAGGGTTTTGAAAAGAGACAGTACATTGGTGAAGATAACAATGTTCAGATTCACACAGATTAGCATTTGAACGAGAATCAAAGGCCTACTTACTGCTCACAAATTGTGAAGTGTTTAACAGAGATCAATTCATTTCTCTACTATATATATATACTAAGTATATCATAAGGATTGTGATAAGGTGTATCAATTCAACTTTAAATGTCTCATCATGTGAGCAAATTATTATAGATAATATAGCAGCATAAATAAATGATCACTGTTGTCTATTTTTAATGAAATTTAATCATTTTATTGAGTTTGACAAAAAGTCTTTTCAAACACATTTTATCATCTGATGTTAATTTTGATTGAAGTGAATAGACTTTATAAAGCTAAAAACATGAGAAAATCTAATTAACATAGAATTAAGTTTCTTTGAAGTTTATTTAACGTTATCCTTTGAACATCAGGGTGTGTCTGAATGGTTCAATAATTACATTTTTTGTTTTAATCGGTTTAATTTTGATATACTAGATAACATTCAAATATAATTCAATATAAAGAGGTTGAAAACGAACTAGCCATTCCACCCTATCTTAACAATTACTGAAGAAGTATACACTTAAATTAATCCATTCCAGAGAAGGAGATATTCAAATTATAGTCTACATAGCATTGATGGAAAGTGGAACTTCAAAGATAATGTAACTGTCAAAACAAGTGACGAAATTTTTAGAAATTTAGTGATTGACATTAAAGCGATTTGTGGGTATCAGCCAGGTTTTAACTTGACGAATGGTCACGTGACTTGGAAAACATTCCTTCTCAGTGTTAAAATTATAGACAATTTTTTTGAAAAAAGACAACAGTATGAAAAGACCTCAAATATTGCAAAAGTTGCTTTAAGTCCTTCTGTGCTTGCATTTATATTCCTTCTAGTAATATTCATTTGGAATAATGTTTTCTTTTAAGGTTAATTAAGATTGTGCAGTATTCCTCAATGAAGATTGAGGGTAACAATCGAAATATGACATGCGATTCCTATGTGAAGTGGCACCATAATGTTGTACTTTGTTATAATTCAGATGCCACTAAATCAACTAAAAATTAAGTTTTCCTTATCCAATGAAAAAATGCATTAGACATTTAATAATTGACTACGTAATCTAAATTATATTAGATGGTACGAGTTGCTTTAAACCTTCTAACAATTCTTAGATATCAGTACTTACGACAGTAAAATCTGAAATAAACATGATTAGTGAAACATCTTACACAGCGTACAAAGAATGAGAAGAACAAAATAGTGGCAAAAATAAAGCAATAATTCAGAAACTTTCAGAGAGTTTATACCCCCCTATGTACTTACCCTTACAAAAGTACATATTTCGTCACTTATACAATTTAGGATCCTGGTTAAGATTTGTCACTTCTATGAATCGATTTAACAATCCAATCTTCGATAAAAAGAAAAAAATTCAATTCTGTTATTACCCTAAAACGTTTTAGAAAGCAGTATCAATAAATGTATTAAATGTTTATTTCACTTGGTAGATCCTAGTGGTTATTCTTAACAGGATTCTAATCAGTTCTGCTACTTACAATTCTCTTAAAATTTCATTTAGTTTAAAGGTTTTTTTCATGATGATTTTAGATCATTGTCATAGCATAATAAATGTTTTTATTTATCAGGAGTATCTTGAGAATTAAATCAGTGACTTGAATCATATTTCGCTGCAATAGGAGTAAAGCGTTTTCGGCACTATAAAGTCGAAGATTAGTACGTAACCACATTTGACATTTAGTCTCGAGTCCATTTTATGATGCAATCTTTTCTATCCTCCTATAGACATATATTTTCCATATAACTATATATACGAATGTACAGCTTTAGTAAATGATTTCGTCGAAGAGAAAATTTTCTTCTCTGAATTCGCTTTTACTTATTCGAAGCTAATTCTTCGAAAACTGTATATTATATATGTATAATACTCAGAGAGCGTAGCCGTAATTCCTAGCAGTCTATGTATTGTAATAATTGTGCTCCTGAAAAGCCGTGGAATTTTATTGATTGAGGTCATTCCATTTTAAAACACTTTTAGTAGCTTCGTTAATTGATGTTTAACTGCGACATCTTATCTCATTAAATTAATTCCATTCTCCTTGTTATGATTCATTACTAGGGTACTCAGGTGCATGTTTATTTCAAGTGTTGACTCACATCGCAAAAAACTATGCTAAATTGAGTTTATAATTTGACATTCGAAAATTACAGGATTTAAGAAGCTTCAACTATAACTCACTAAATAAGATGAATTTATATTATTCAGTTCAAGTTTAATTACTTTTGACTTCATGTGAATAGAATAAAAACGAACTCAAAACCATCTGATAGTCATTAGTATGTAATTTGGCACTTCATCTTACAAGGAAGTCAAATATGAATCGATAATGAATAAGTGTCATTTACCGTCCATCTCCTAATAAATATTACTGTCGTTCATCTAGACATTTTTAAAGTCTTAATGACATCTTATCTCCTTAGCTGAACATTAAATAATTAAATTGTTTAGCTATTGGTAGTAACAAAACGATGAGTCATCCTGTGTCACCAATGTCCGCAATATTTAATTTTCTAGTAAATCATGAATTTGTCCTAGAACTATTGCTTCTCACCTTTATCAAATATATTTCATTACTATCATCATAATGTGGAGGAAACGAGATATTATTCGACTTGTGAAGTGTTTGAGGTAATCATAACTTCACCGACAGAGATCAAACACTAAACTTTATCTCACTGTAGCTTCACGGTTCAGTTTCACATGTTAATATAAATGACCGTAATCAATGGAAATAAATAAACTGGACACAAGATTTAGTCTTTGAGTTCAAACAGGAATGTTTGTTTTTATTCTGTTGAGTAAAACGGTTCACATAAAAATTGATTTAGTCTCAGTTGAATAAAATAATTGAAATTGGACAATACATTTTAAAGTTATTTGCTCATCATGCATTAAAGATTATTCATTTAGTTTCTACTACCCATAATGGTTCTGGACCACGTTTAGCGTACGCACCAGCAAATGTAGCATCCTCACACTGACTTAATATATTCTCCATGGTTTCTATAGAGTAGCGGATTCTACTGATTTGAGATGTGGAACAAATTTCATTTGACTTCGTTTTACTTGCTTCGATTGTTTGCCAAGTGAAAACATACACAGTGATTGTTATCCAGAGTAAAAGTTTTGTTGACATCTAAACAATAAAGTAAAGCAGGGTAATAGAATAAATATATAGTGTTACATGGTAGAACTATTTATATATTGTATTTTAATTAATTAGAAGTGAAATGTAACTAGATTTTAACAACACTTACTTTCTTATAGACTGACAAAGAATTCTGTAATGCCATTTCTAAGGTTATTCATTAGAGAGCTAACAGTCTTTAAAGGCTAGTAGTTTTTTAAATGTCTAGTTACCTTTACATAAAATCAGTGACAATTATTTAAACTTAAAAAGAAAAAATGTCTCAAAATACAAGTTGTTTCATAGTAATAAAGTGACAATTTCGATAATATTTCCCATCAGATAATATGGTTTGTAAAGGATATCATTAAGAAATCAGTTGTAGCAAGGTGTTATGATTTTTTATGGGAATAACAATATAATTTTTAAGAGAGGACATCAAAGAAGATGTTTTAGAATTTTCAGCAACTAATGTCATACTGGATAATTACAGCATTCAATTCGAATTATTGAACAACAGTTCAGTTATGAAGAGATCAACTAGTATTTGAACATGATCTTTTTCAACTGCAAATGTTTGTGTTTACAATTTAAATAAGAAAAAGAAAGAGATAAATATATTTGTGAAGAAACGAAATATGCTTTTGACGTTTATCGACGCTTATAAGCTACCATTATTTACATAAAGTCAGTTATCACTTTTTTAAAAATCTTCACAATATGTAGTTCATGAAGACTAATCTATTATCTGATAGAACTCAAATATCAATTAACAAAACTACTTATTTAGATATACCTATTTTAATATAGACGGAATATAAACTAATGTCAGGAGTGTTAGCACTAGGTATTAACTTAATTAATCTAATAGTAAAATATCAATATTTCAGATTGATAGCAAGCAAGATTAATGATAATAGTTTAAAGAATAGAAGTCAATCTTCATTCTGCCTTTTTTTACTTACATATTATTATTCATTTGGTCTACAAGATGTTAGCAATAAGTTTCAATGAGTTGAACTTCACCAAAAATTTAAAGGTTTAGAATATTTATTTTTATGCCTGTTATATCCCGAAAAGAATTATGAATGGTAACTCTTGAGAACTATTTATGGACCGATACGATGCATATATTTTTATTGTATAATTGTTAAGTAGCTAAACTATACATATTCATGTTCCTCTTATTTTATTTTGACCCATAGACTATTATTATACGATTTACCATTCTTGAGTTCTACCCACTCTATTAATTACAGTCTCCCACATTCACAGCCACTTCTGGCTACATCTTGTACAAATGTTATTTTCGACTTTATGGTACGATGTGGTCTGTTTGGTATGTTTGAAATACATGATTTATACCGCAGAGGCTGAGATTGTTGTTCTGGACTTGATAGGCAGGGTTAGACAGGAAGAAGGACCGATAAGGACTCTAGACTGCTCGTACGGGTTTATGCGTCATTGGTCCGATCGATAAGTTACCGTTTTCTAATTGGCGGTATCATTACGTTATATTTTAATAGGCCCTAAGGCCACAAGTTATAACAATGCCATAGCATTAATTTTGTATGCAATAAAATAATATTCATTTATATCCTAAAAAAGTAATCATCCATATTAAAACTTATAAGTAAATGATATACATACATGTACAGTATGACAGAGCGTTTCATAATTTTATTTTAATAAATATGTTTAGTGAGAAAGAGTAGTTTGTGAGCCTGGATTTTCAAAATTTTTCCCGATTTAAACCTTTCGAGTTTGTTACTACGCTGAGTTGCACTTTATATTTTGTATTTACTTTAGCTTATCACTCATTTATTTTAACTCAGCCTATTTCAAGCAAAGTGGACAAATAGACTATGAATATTATCAGAACGCTGAGGAGTCCCATACTAGGACGAAACGGGCGTCCAGTGCTTCCAGGTTTTCAATAGCGGCCTAGCTTAGATTGACTCGTGAATTCAACTACTAAACTATGGATACTTTATTTGATTTTATGTGCAAGTTGAATCATATGAAGAGAATTTTTAAACCTTAATCAGTCATTGTTGTCTTACAACATCTTTTCATGATAGCTGTTCGGTTATTACTTCGACGTCTTCATATATGTTAAGTAGACAGTTACCTGTCACATTTCTGACCCGTAAATTATTTTCATTCTTCTATCCTTTTCTAACCTCTCGATTAGTATACAACCTAATTTTGATATTTGAAATTTCGGACCACTATATGTAATCCCTTTCTATTCTACTACAGAATCACAATTCTTAATACGAATGTACGACTTTAGTAAATAACTTTGTCGAAAAGAAAATTTTCTCCACTGAATTTTCATCATTTCATTCATCCAGACAACAGCTTTCCTTAATATTTAAATATTTAAGTGAAAAGAGATTTATACGCACTTTCATGTATATTTGAAAGAATATTTTCACAGTAGTTGGTCTTGGTAGTATAGTATGATAAAAAAATAAAAGTCAGTGTTTAAGAAGACCTTAACGTTCCACTCGGTAGTCTGGCTGTAACTACTTCAGTGACATAATGAAAAGTCAAATTTATCGATGAACTTGATTTGTGAAACAGTCTATAGTCTTGCACAGAATTCACTTGTATATGTTTGTGAAATTTATAAAAATCTCAGATATTAATAAGCTAGTGCTTGTATACAAGATGTGTAGTGTATTTTGTAAAATTTTCAACTATTCTCTTTAGAACTCTAATATTTCAGTACTTCACAGATTGAATCTGGCTATTTATTAACAAAGAGTCCTTTTTTTTTATCAAAAACCTGATTTGCAACCAAACTTGGGCAAAAATGAGTAGTGATGTACAATTTTTGAAAATCTTTAGAGCTGCAAATTGTATAGAAATTATAAAAACTATAAAATAATAATTAAGAGACAACTTACAGCTTAGATTATTTAAAAAATTAGTTGGACTATAGTTTTCCGAAAAACACGGTTAGTTGTTATGACGATACGCATATATTTATATTTTTGAATCAGACTTTATATGAATTTTGAAAATGTATGATTGGTTGTCTAAACTGTTTGAGCCAATCATAGAGTTTTAAACTGTTAAGGGGGTTTCAAGTTTTGCTTAACACATGCACCGAAAAAAACCAACGAAAAATAATGTCTTACGTGTAATTTATAGAGTTAAAGTGAAACTATTTCACTACAAACAGAGATGGATGATGACTAACAGTGAGTCTCATCCTATTTTGGAATGGTCAGCCGAATTTACCTGCATCTCATAGTTGATGTTCACTCCGTCACTCCAACTCAATACCACTCGCTTCAAATATCATTGCATTATCCACTTAGCTACTGAGTTCGGGTAGCTAATGCTAGACACTATCCGTCTTTGCTTATAATACTTAAGACTTAGGTAATATCAAGGGAATCCGCACAGGAAGGACACGGGCCGATAAGAAACTGATCACTTTCAATCCTCAACATCAGAGGGATGATTCAAACTATCAAAACGAAAATAAATGAAACTATTTCATGTTCCAATAGACCATTTTATAGAAATCGAACTGTTATGTTAGCTGTCGCAAAAGCCTTTAAAATTATAGGCTGTAGAAGTTTTTAAAATCAGTTCTTTATGTAAAAGACGAAGGAATTTTTAATGGATATAAACGTGAACCTCGTATCATTTTTAGTTAGATTAGAATTTATTTTGGATTTCAGTCAACCAGTAAACATTAGTTTAAAATTATATTAAGTCTTAGTGTGATTACTTATAGACTGATTGAACAATGTTTGAAGCAATTCAAGCTGAGAATCAATGTTATTATTCACATCACTAAGACATCAGTGGCATTCAGTTACCTTTTTAATTAAATGAGCCTTTAGAAAATTTTTAAATCACACTGGCTCATTTGTCCATTGTGCATTAAAGTTATCTTCATTCTGAATTAATTCGTTTTTTAGGTAGAAGGTATTCTGCGTTAATTATGGAGCTTTACAAGTTTTACACACATAATTCAAATAAAGTTGATAAAAGGTAGTATGAAATAACTGATCTAATGTAATCAGTCTTTATGTTCATTCTAAAAACAACATTAGGGTCTCTTGAAATAGTTGAATATTCGTATCATGAATTGAAATTGTCATCAGTCTGTTTTTCAAGATATAGCCTTGATATTTTCAGAGATCAATAATATAGTGCTTTACAAGCATGCGTGTTGTTGCAATGTTGTTGTCTTTCTTTTGACAATGAACAGTTTTATTTCTCTCAAGCTTAGCTGAATCACTCACGTGAACGTTAAACTTTGTATTAAATCTAACTTAGTTATGCCTGTTACCCCTCATCGAGGACCCACCAGGAAACCCACCAGGAAACCCACCAGTATTCTCCATCCCACTCTATCCTGAACAATACTTTCCAGTTGCTTATCATCTCTTTCATGTCTGATTCCAATTCCCGTTATAGTGTGTTCTGTGTCTTTCCTCTTCTCCGTTTTCCTTCACGATTCCATGTTAGGGCTCGCTTCAGGATGTAATTAGATAGTTTCCGCATTATATGTCCTATCCACTTCCAACGTATTTTCTTAATTCCCTCTTCAGCTGCAAGCTGGTTTATTCACTCCCACAATAGACTGTTACTGATGATATCCGAACAACGGACATTGGATATCTTACGTGGACAATTGTTTATAAATACTTGTACCTTTTGATGATGGTTGTGATAGTTCTCCGAATTTCAGCTCCATACAATGGAACTGTCTTGACGTTCGTATTAAAGATTTTCACTTTGATATTGGCTATATAAAATTTTCTTAAAGTAATTCTCATTCCTCATATTTCTTTATGATAAAGAATGTTCATTGTGTTTGTATTACATTATGATGGAGAGCAGTTATCAAATTATATCATGTACTATCAAATAAACAATTCTCTAAGTTTTTATACATCACCGGTTGATCCAGCACACGTAAGTTTATGTTGCATTAAACACGTGATTATTGTCAAGGAAACCAAGAGTGAAATTCTAAACGTCTATTCCTACCGAATAAATCGTCTTGCAATGGTGTCGGAACATAAATCAGAGCCTAAAATAAAACGATAAAAAAGAAATTACCATTCATTAGTTAGTAAAAGTTACTGATAAAATAAACAAACAAATATTTCTTGTCACTAGATGAAAAAGTAAAGTGTAATTAGTTTACATGAACTGCCTACTTGAGTTATGTTGTGTTTACTTACTATATTGATGTTGCTGATATCTGATCTATGACTGATAATCACTGCCATCGGTATCTACTTTTTGTTGTTGTTGAAAATCACTTAGATCACTGCTCACAATATCATCAAGGTCGTTGATGAAAAACCTGTTGGATCAAGGGCACACTTTTTGAACCTGAATGCGAAATTCTTTGGTTCAAGTTAACCGATGTAATAAAATGACTTACTTTGAATGCAGTTTAACCTGTTATTGAATATATTTTCCAGTTTTAAGAAACTTATTTGTTTCATATATGTTAAGTTTCTTGAACCTATATTAAGTGTAGTTATTCACAATAATTAAAATAAATGAAATCATTCCTTTTTCCATAAATTTTTTAAAATAATCTACAAGTGAAACACGAACCTAATGTAGTGAGAATGAAATGAGTTGTCAAGTTCTACAAATTAACTCTCTGATTGTATGCTTTGTTGTCATGTTGTTTTCTGTAATCAAATGTGTTACATATTGTATCAAATCAATACAACAATTCAGTCACTTATAGTATGAATTACTTTCAGTGTTAAGTGTAACAATGAAAATGTCACTGATAAAACATGTACTATCCATCATTGCTTACAAATAGCTTGTGAATTAAGGTAATATCGAGGCGTACGCACAGTATGCACATATGCCAATAACAGACTGATCAACTGCAGTGTTAAACCTCAATGGGAAGATACAACCCAAACAGTACCAAGTAGTTTCACAATGATATAAAATTTTAATGTTAATTATTCAAGAAGTACGGAAGTTTCAGAATTTTAATAGATCTTATCGAATAGAATAGGTAAATAAATTGTTCCCAATATGATATACCTTCAAGGTGTAAGGTTTATCATTTCAGTCTAATTATTCTTAATTATTAGCACAATAACTTTTTATAAACACAGAATTTTCAACCCAACGCAACTAACACACTTAAAATAGAAGCGTAAATTTGTGCTGAAAGTTTTATAAACTAACTGATAAAAAAATGTTTACATCTGTTGATAGGAGTTATTTACTTGACTTTAGTTTTATTTATCTTAGAAAATACCAAATGAGAAAGCAGGTAACCTAGTGGGCTTACTTCTTTCCACTTGGTTCCTTTTCTCTTGTGTTCTCTAAACTAAACTCTATTCATGACCATTCATTTTTCTGGGTTCGAGTAGATATTTTCCTAAAATATTTAAGTTGGGAAACTGATTTTAGTTGTATTACATGTTGTGGTCGTCTATAAAAGAACCTATTAATGCTGTAAATTCTATACGGAACTTCTACTTCCATTTTGTTCGGAACGGTTTTAGGAAAAAGATAATTTATAATATATTTCTGCTTTACCATTTTAAATTTCAATAATCTTACAGTTTGAATTAAAAACAGGTAAACAGATGAAACATAATTACTGTGATTCTAAAATACTTATATTTCGGATAGAATTTCTATTTCACTGAACGACTATGTTTAACTAAAGTGAATTTGATCTGTTATCATAAGCTTTGTAACAGTATCAACAAAACTTATTAACTTTCGCAATCACGTTAAGACTGCAAGTCAACAGAGGCACAATTCACTAAACTTGCATTTTGGACCTCTGTCAAGTGAAAAGATGTGTTTGTAACTGATTGATGAGTTTCAAGGTATTGTTAAGTATTTCCATAAGGTAGATGTTCAAACTGAGTCAATTAAGGGCTGATTATGACAGTTTGAAATGACTGGGATGCACTGTTTTCGGTAAACAGATATGTCATTATTGCTTAAATAGATATTGTAAAAAGATTAGTTTTAATGTTTTCTGCAAGTTATTTTGGAGTACGGTTAAGTTAAAACATCATTTGGTTATATAGGTTAGTTAGTGAGCTTAGCTCTTATTTATAGTTTTCATTAGTCAGATATGAAATAAATGTGTGTTGTTGTTCCCCACTACTTTATATTACGGAATATTGTATAACCCATCAACAAATATTAGTGACTGTTTGTACAAGTGGTTATTTTGACTTAGATTAAGGAAAATTAATTAGATTAGAATAAAAGCATTGCACAGAATATTTGTTCGCAAGAAATGGAATTCAGCTCATAAACAAAAAAGAAATTTTACACTTATTAAACTTATAAGTAACCGATGAGAATTCATAAGGTACAGTGAGCCCATATCATCCCACTTTCACTATTGTTATTTTGTTCGACTCATGATGATGTGTACACATTTTTCAAGAATAGTTTTCATCATAACTTGAATAAAACATTGGAAATATTGTACTAAAATTGAAACTGTTTTTTTGTACTTTTACTGGAAGATGATTACTAGTATGCTTCGTCTCTAGATTTATAAAGTATGTGCCTTCTAAAATTGTACTCCTAAGCAACTTTAGAACAACTATAGAATAGATTTAATGAATATTTATGAAATATATTTCAGAAATGAATTTTTAAAAATTTAGTCATTTTTGTATTAGTTTATGTCTTTCTATTGATGTTTATTACTGCAATTGATCATTCTCTTATTGATCCGTGTCTTTCCTACGCGGATTGTCTCGATATTGTCTTAAGTCACAAGCATCCTAAGCAAAGATGGATAGTGCCTAGAAGTGAATTTCAGGACGCGCGATTCATCCTATTTGGGACTAATTAGTTGGATTTAACTTCTATCCGGACTCAGTAGCTAAGTGAATAATGCGGTGGTATTTGAAGCGAACGGCAATGGGTTTGGGTGACGGAGTAAACATCAACTGTAGGATGCAGGTACATTCAGCTGACCATTCCAAAATAGGGCGAAACTCGTGTCATGTATTCCACTGTTAGCCATCATCCGTATTTGCTTATAGCACAATATTGTTTACAAATATGCCTAAAATCCCAACGAAATGGAAGTCGCTTGGTTCTGTCCTTCAAACCTTGTTGTTAGGGCCCTAGAGTTGCATAAATTAATGTTTACGGTGTACGCAACAATATTTATAATTTCCTTTAGACTACTAGTTATCCCTAAAACACAATACATTTCTTAATAAGCTATACATAATGCTTGCTAGTGAATATAAAACTATTCAAAACTGTATCCCAATCTAAAACGCACACTCAGTATCTCACTGTTAAGCTCTTAACTTATGTTTAATTATACTGAAATCACGAATAACGCAGAAAAAATGTCTTCTTACTAAACGATTTTTTTCAAATAACCTGTATTTTAGTCTAGTGACTTTTCTGAGTGCTCTGAACTTTAAAAACTCAATTTTCATCCGTTATTTGCCAAAACTAGTCAAATAACAGATCCTTAGGACGGCATAAATTAAAAAACGCAGATGAGTATCCAACATAAGTACGTCCATCATCGTCCCCTATCTTGATGAAACACAGCCCCTGTAATTTTAAAATCATAAAGAAGACAGTGCATATCATGCATATATCTCCCTACAATTTACCGTCTTAAATGCATCAAATTTGATTAGCTAATGTTTATAGAGTGAAACGGTTTGTTTGGTACTAATCATATTACTATTATCCCTTAATTAAGTTATATTATGTCCCTTATTTTGTAACACCTGGCCAAGCAAATCAATTCGACCACTATTTCTTTTAGCCCAGTTTATCTTCACTTATACCTGCTATTATGCTTTAATCTTTATTTGAACAACAACCTGACTCAAATAAATACCATACTTTGGTAGTTTTAACGTTTAAAACCTATTCCACTCATTTAAAAGACATTGTTTTAAAAATAGATTTGTCATTAATTAAAAATAAAAACTAAAACACGAGCATTTATTAAACAGAATAATCTTCGTTTATGTACCATCGTTTTAACCTAATTTGTACATAAAGATGGCTGTTATCACTGACTTAAATAGGCTAGGGAACCACTGGATTCCAAGAGATATTGAATAATTGTTTTGTTCTATATTTAGAGACCCCACAGTAGTGGGCAGTTATAAACGAAAGGTCATTAGTTTCAGACTAAAGAATGAATGGGGTCGTTTTTTATAATGAACTTATTTGCACATTCGCGTTTACAATCTAAAAATGCATCTATCACTTATAAACACTGAACGTATTTAATTTTAGCGCCTATTTATATTGTGCGGAATGTATGAAGCCATTAGATTATAAATTTTAGTATTACCTAACTTAAGTATTTGTTTGAAGTAAATTTAACGGACATTTTATCATCTAAACCATTTGTTTATTGAAATATTATGATATCTAACTAGATCATGTGGTAGTAAACTATTTTCCATAGATAAATTTTAAACATTCAGTTGACTTTTATAGTCTTTGTTAAATAAGGAAATGAAATATACGACTGAAAGTTTAACGAATATTTTGAAGGTCTGAAGTATATTTTGGTTTCAGCAGGAAACTAACAGTTGATTCCTTCTTTTGTAAAAAAATGTAGTCTACTGATATTGTATTGTTTAATGGATAGGGGGTTTTTGAAGTTTTAGAGGAAAAACCGTTTTGCTTGTTTTGAAATTTAACTTCAGTCATCGCTTTCAGAAAATGGTAAACATATTTTCTGTTTACACTAATTCTGACCAAAATGTGTAAAGGATTCTTACCATTTTATTCCCCCACAAGTTGAATGCTCTCAATACAATTAAGTTATGATCAACATATGACCTTCTAGATATGTGTCTACGCTGCAAAGTTTGTTATCAGTTTATTTAAAGAAAATTAATAGGTTGCAGCTTAAAAAAGCCGGAATAATAATATTATCAATGAAACAAAGAAATACTCTTTGATACGGTAATAAAATCAAACTATAGAAATTCTAAGAGATGTATGGATATTTTACCTACTTAGCAGATGGTGCCAATTTGCAGAAGTCAGCTGAACTTCCAGAATTCGTGCCAATTTTTAGCCAGCCACTGGCCTAGGGAAGTAGATGAGACTTCCGTGATAAATGAAGTGATCGACGCGATTGACTACTTCAGTCTTTGAAGTTAGATTATGTAGAAACAGACGTGTTTTTCAACTCCCTTCGTACTTGGATTCGAAAAAATACATCATAAACACGTCTACATTTTAGTGAAAACAGTTACAGAATTATAACTTTTCAGAATCGTATCATCCGGATCCGCTAAGTCGATAAGTGGTTGTTCTGTTAGAAAATAAACTACAAGAAATCCAGATCACGAAGTCCCCTCTAAGAGGGTACCTATATCAAAATCAAAGTAGAATATAAAAAAGGGTGCTCTAACAATGCTACCTGATGTGATCATTTGAGATGACAGTTATCAGGAAGCCCTGACTTGATGAAAAGCATTTATATCTA